TTATGTAACTTCAAAACTTCCTATAAGTTGACCATTATTAAGACAGTATAGTGTTGGTGAAAAAAATAGACAAATGGATCTATAAAACAAAATAGAGATTCCCCCAGATAGGCCCACAAAAATAGAGCTGATTGATCTTTGACAAAGGAACAAAGGCAAGACAAAAGAGCAAATGGTCCTGAAACAACTGGACATCCATGTGTAAAAAAAAACCAAGACAAAGACCTATACCCTTCTCAAAACTAGCTCAAAATGTATCATAGACTTCCATGTAGTGTACAAAACTATAAATCTCCCAGAAGATAGCAGAGAAGACAATCTGATGACCTCAAGTATAGCAATGACATGTTAGATATTATACCAAAACATGATCCATGAAAGAAATAATTGATAAGTTGGACTTGATAAGTTAAGTAGAAAAACTTCTACTTTGTGAAAAAATTTTCAGGAGAATGAGAAAACAAGTCACAGGCTGGGAGAAAATATTTGCAAAAGAGTATATCATAAGAACTGTTCTGTGGCTATCATAAATCAATACACAAGTGCTGAGGAGGATGTGGAGAGAAGGGAACCCCAGTGCACTATTGTCGGGAATGCAGCCTGGTACAGCCATGGTGGAAAACAGTATGGAATTTCCTTCAAAAACTAAAAATGAAACTACTTTTTGACCCAGGGACCCCACTGCTGGGAATATACCTTAAGAATTCTGAAACAACAACTCAAAAGCAGTTGAACACCCCCATGTTCATAGCAGCACTATTTTCAATAGCCAAAATTATGGAAACAGCCTAAGTGCCCATCAGCAGATGGGTGGATTAAAAATAACTGTGGTACATCTACACAATGGAATACTATATAGCAAAAAAAAAAAAAAAAAAAAGAAGGAACTCCTGCCTTTTACAACAGCGTGGCTAAAACTGAAGACTATTATGCTAAATGAAATAAGCCAGTTGGTGAAAGACAAAAGACCATATGATCTCACTTTTAAGAGGAAACTAATAAACAAAATGAAATAATGAGCAAAATAGAACCAGAGGCATAGGCTCGTGGAACAGACTGAGAACTGTAAGATGGGATAGGGGAGGCAGGGACTATTGAAAGAAGGTGGAGGGATTAGTCAAAGAACACATATGAAGGACCCATAGCCATGGACAACGGTGTGGGGCCTGACTATTGGAAGTGGGGGGCAGGCTGAATGGAGGGAGGCAAAGGGGGAAAATGGGACAATTGTAATAGCATAAGCAATAAAATATTTTTAAAATATAGGACTGTTGCATAAAATATACACAAAAACTGAAAATTCAACAATAAGAAAACAAGCAACCTGATTAAAAATTGGCACAGATCTTAACAGACATCTCACCAAAGAAGATATGCATCTGGCAAAAAAACATATAAAATGATGTTTTATATTATATGTCGTCAGTGAAGTGCAAATTAAAAGAACAATGACATGGTACTGCAAATCTATTAGAAATGGTTCATTTAATATTGTCTGGAACACTGACAATATTAAATGCTGGTGAGTGTGCAGAAAAACAGAAACTCTTACTTATTGTTGGTGGGAATGCAAAAAGTACAGCTATTTTGGAAGACAGTCTGGAAATTCCTTACAAAACTAAAAATAGTCTTACTGTATGATTCAGCAATCATATTCCTTGGTATTTACCCAACAGAGTTGAAAGCTTATGTCCATACAATAATCCTAATATGGATGTTTGTTACAGCTATATTCATAGTTGCCATAACTCAAAAGCAACCAAGTTGTCCTTCAGTGGGTGAGTGAATGAATTGTTCTCTATGCAGATGATGAAATATATTCGACACTGAAAACAAATGACTTATTCAGCTGTAAGAAAACCTGAGGAAAACTTAAATGCATAATGCTAATTGGAAAAAGCCAGTTTGAAGAGGCTGTGTACTGTATGATTCTGACTGTATAACATTCTGGAAAAGGCAAGACTATGGAGATATTATAAAGACCAGTCCTTGCCAGTAGTTGAGGGAAGGGGAAGGAATGACTAGGGAGAGCAGGGAGATTTTTTAGGGCAATGAATACACTTTATATAATACCATAATGATGGAAATGTCATCATACATTTGTGCAGACCCATAGAATGTATAAAATCAAGACTAAACATTAATGTAATTTACAAATTTGGGGTGACAATAATGGGTCAATGTAGGTTTATCTGTTCTAACAAATATATCACTCTGGTGGGGAATGTTGGTCGTGAAGGAGGTTATGCATGTGTCAGGGTAGGAAGGATAGAGGAAATCTCTGTACCTTCTCAATTTTGCTTTGAACCTAAAACTTCTCTTTAAAAAAATCTTATAAAATGAGGACCCTTTAAGTGATTATGTGCTACACCTACCTGTAAGCTGACACAGCAGACCAGTCATTATCTAAGTGTATTCTGCCTTCCTGGGACGATTGGCTGTCCTTTGATGGTCTTTGGCTAGAGAGAGCAGGATTGTGTTGGTGCCTGTTGTGTCTGCACCTGTTAGTGTTTATGGGCAACCAGTCTCTTCAGCTCCAAGACTGGAATAGATGAGGCAAAAAAGAAAATCCCCAAAACCCGTCACCATATAATGCCCTTGGGTCTCAATTTCCCTAGCCAGCCTTCCTTCTCAGCCTTAAGAAGCCTTTCAGAGCTTCTTAAGTGTGTTTATATATGATTTCTAAGGTTTTTAGTTATACTTAGTGGGAGGAATTAGGACAAGTTTGTCTACTCCATTTTTCTAAAATTAAATATTGGACAATTAACATTTATTTTCTTTTCCCATCTTAGTGACTGCTCAATATCTTGCCACTTGAGTTAACAAAAATAATACAGCAGATCATAGCTTGAGTGTCAACTGTATATCAGACAAAAGGCATACCATGTGAGCTCCAAAATATATTTATTTCTCATGTATACTCAACTTCATTGCCTGCTTCCAATTCTTTTGACTTTGGTGACTCTCCATATTTTGTCTCCTGATCCTGTGGAAAAGGAGTTTTATAAACCAGTTTGAGACCACTTTTGCTTAAATGTTGAAGTCTCCTTTCCTTCAGGGAGAATAGGCAGGAGGCCCCACTCTAGTTGCCTCCTTTGATCCTCTTGTAACTCGGTGTGGGGTCTCCCAGCTTCTACACTCAGTGAAAGAATAATGGTTTGAGAAAGTCAGACCACATAAGCTTCTTCCTAATAGAAATAACAGGTAATTTTTAAAATTCTTATTTGTTTGTATATTTATCTATCTGTGCATTTCTTTATTTTTTAATTTACTGGGGTACACTTGTTAACAGAATTATACAGGTTTCAGGTGCACATTTCCATAGTCATCTGTGCACTGCACTGTGTGTTCACCACTTCAACTTAAGTTTCTTTCCATCACTATTTGTCACCCCCCTCCCATACCCTTGAAGGTGTTGTTGATCTTTGAGCTAAATGCTTGGTTTGTGGTAAATGCTTAACGAGCTATTATTGAAATGGATTCCAACTTACTAAGGACAGTAAGGATAAATATTTTTACTAGCATCAGTTCTCTTATGCCATTTTGATTCTATTTGAGGTTTTGTTTTGGGAAAAAGCAGAACAGGGTGTCAGGCATTTTTCAGATCTTAACACTACCCTTCACTGCTGAGCTTTGCATCACAAGGGGACCACCTCTATGAATTACATTTCCGAGGTTGTTTGTCAACAGGCTTCCACTGAGTGGGACAATAGGAAGCAGTGGAAGGAAATTGGAGCATGGGGAGCCAGGATGATTTCCCTCTTCTCTCTTTACTTTGGGAGGCATCTTTGAGAGTGACTATGACTTCTTAGTGGCTATAGTTCTTACTGAAGATCTTATTCCTCTCTATTCCAAATTCCGCATCTGATAGTCCTGGTCCTTGGATTCTGGTAAGACCACTGCCTCCCCTTTTCCCTACATTTCCAGGAGTAGTGATATTACTTTAATTACCTCACTTAAATCTTCTATATGATATTATTACTATTTCCACATCATTAAGATCACACAGGTGGTAAGTGGTAAAGGTTGTATTTGAACTGTGGCAACCTAACCACTGAGCTCTATCCATTTATCCAGTGCATTGCATTTATATGATGCCATGATGGGACAGCCAACTTTCCCAAAATGCAATGTGGATTTTGAGAGTAGTTCTTTCCTTAAATCCAGATTGGTAATTCAAGATAAATCATACATCTGGGTTTTTTAAAAAGTAGTTCATTGTTGATAGTATTTTATATACTCGTACAGTAAGAAATCTAAAAATACATCCAAAGTAAATGTAGATTTTAAAATTTTGAGTTAATAGTGCTTTTCTGCCTCTATTATCCACAAGTCCTATTCAACTTCTATTCCAACTTAGCACAGAGGAGATTGAGCTTTATAATTCTTGAGGATATTTTTATCCTCTTAAAGCCAATTTTTAATGAGATTTCATGGTATTATGCATTTCTTTTTGTATGGATGGTAAGGCAAAAAATTGTGTGGCTCATGAAAGCATAGGTAGTGAGGATGGCTGGGGTCAGGGGGAGTCGTGGGGGGAAAATGGAGACAACTGTGCTTGAACAACAATAAAAAATAAAAATAATAAAAATAAAAACTTGTTTCTGCATATGCAACCAGGAAGAAATATTTTGTTATTCAGGTTGAACTTTTAGCTTGCTATTGACATTTCTGTCTCTTAATATGTAAGAAGTAACTTCCCAATTGTTTTTGGAGAAGCTTTAAATCTCATTGTCAGCTAGAATAAAATTTTAGTGCATTCTCAGATGAAGTCTCTTTTCCTTTGTGGTCTAAGGATTTATTCATCAATACCGACACTATCTGGACCTGATTTCAGCTACCTTTTGAAATATACTAACATTCTAATTTGTCAACATTAAGTTTGAACATATCATTCTCCAGCTTGAGATTTTAAAGAAAAAGTTGAAGACAATGTAAAAATTGAATATTTTCAAAGAAGAGTCAGTAGAAATCAAGGAATTCTAATATATTTCCCCCTTTAATAAATACATAAAGCTTTTGACCATTTCCCTCAATTATTTTGATTAACACAATAGTAGGGTCTTTCAGAACATCATTATACCAATTTTCACAGCCTGATGTAAGCACTCATTTCACAGAAACAATCATGGCTAGCATTAATGGGTGAATGTCAGTTCCATAACACAACAGTATAAGGCATATTTACACCATCAGAACATACAGAACACCATATACATACACAAAAAAATCACAGCTCCAGGACAAATAAAATTCAATCTCCTAGAGACAGCTTACATTTATAGGCTTTACCTGAAACATGTTGTTTACTTTACATTTTTATAATATGGTTTCTTCTCAAGCATCAAACAGATCTTCCCTATGTCTTGTGATTTGTTTGTAACATTGTGTTCATGCAAAAATAATACTTGTTTTATTGCATTAACATTTAAACAGTTTTGGATTTGGGTCCTAAAACCACCATCTAACATTTGATGTTGCTTCATCCATATTGTCATTGTATTTGGAGTGATACGATGATTTGTTTTTAGTGAGTTACCAAATGGCAAACATATCCAGTTGACCACAGTTCAAAAATCAAGATTCTAAGCTTCTTGATCATGCACATTTTACTTTCATTCTTGAAACGTGGTTTGATTCAGACACACCATTTTGATTCATATTTATTGGTTTTCTTTTGTTCTTTTTAAAATATTTCTAAAAACAACAACAAAAGGAATAAAAGAAAATACTGTCCCACATCCACTGTTCACAAAACGGAAGAGCAGCAAGAATCACGCTGACCATTGTGAAGACACAGTCAGGTAGTGACACTGTAGTAAACATTGAATGTCATTGGAGTACTGCAGGAATGTGATCATTACTATAACCCATACTTCTGTAACAGTTCAGATTGCCACTGGCGTTTGCGCTCTGGAAAATAATCTGGAATGTGGATTTTTTTAAAATCCTGAATACACTTTTTCATTTCTTCTTCTACACTGAGCTTCTCACAGACTTTCTTTTTGGAAAGATTTGTCTCCCGGGACTTGCTGATGAGTGTCTGAAAGAGTTCACTGTTCCTGCGTTTGTCTGGCGGGGGCATCCATTGCACCGGAGCTTTTTTGGAAGGCCGATCCAGAGTTAAGGTGTTAGGCTGGTGAGCTGTTGTCTGCTGAGCACTGGGTGGGTTGTCCTGGGGAGTGCTTGCCTCTGAGTGGCTGTCACAGCTGGAAGTGGAGAGCTCATTGCAGGAAGTCCCACTTTCACTTCCTTTATCTGTGACTTTGTCCTGTTTCCTGTCTTCATGTTCTTGTTTTGGTGACACTATTTTTTGAGGTGGCCCTAAAAAGGAAAAAAAAAGAACAATTGAGTAAGAAATGAAAAGGTCAAATTAAATAAACTTTGTAATTTATTTGGATTTTTAAGATTATTTATTTATTTATTCATTTATTTATTTACAGAGAGAGGGGATGGGAGAGAGGAAGAGAGATATCAGTGTGCTTCCGTTTGTAGGACAATGCCCAACCCAATGAGCCACATTAATCAGGACTATAGTTTCTTTGTTTTAAACCAAGAACATTTATATTAAGAAAAATGCTGTTTGTTGAGGGATTAAATACACCACCTAGGGCAGTCAGACTACATTAAACCATGCAACATGCTGATTAATCATTTATAAAACAAAGTTTGGGAGGTTTGCTTACTGAGCATTTCTACCTTACAAAGGTCATTGTTAACTGTATGCTTTAAAGATTTTTGTTAGTTACTATTTCCTGAAATCTGAAAAAGTTATTATATATAAATATTTTGCTAATTCCATAGCCATTTAATTAGACAGTTAATTCATTCCTATTCTAGTTATTGACATTAGGTGTTCATTCTATATATGTTTTGCCATTATGAAAGCAGAAAGTATCATTGCTCTATCCTACAAAGCAGCAGTATTCTCCAGGCTCTGAGGGGCAATAGCATCATTTATGCTTCCAAGTGGGTGGCGGTTTAAATCTTATCTTCAGTCTCTTAATCTTGTTTCCTGTCTATTTCCTTGGAGAGAATTATGAAAGTGCTGTAAGATATATATGTACCTAATATTATGGTGAAAAAAATATAGTTGAAATATAGTGTTCTCTTAAAATACAAGGCTTACCAGTTGAGGTAAATTACCTAGGAGGACAATTTTCAGGAAGTGATAGTTTGCCAAGATAATTATTTCAAATGCACATACAGTTTATTTCCAAGAGAGAGCATATTTTATTTTCCTCGACTCTGCTGTGAGATTAGGACATCTATTTAACATTTATTGAACACCACTGCATACCCAGAACTATAATAAAGCCTTGATTAACTGGAGCCTAACCATTTTGAAATATTGAAATACCCAAATCTCATTTTTTTCTTGTAGTCAACTTTTATGAACAAGTTATATAAATCAGTGTGGAGTGAAAGACATCAGTATTTTAAAGCAATTGTCAGGGTAATCCACTGCGCAGCCAGACTTGATAAAAATTGGTCTAATTCATAAGGTGTCAACCTTAGGCACATAAGGAATTACTTGGTGAGCTTACATCATTAATACCTTGGTCTCAGTCCAAGACATCCTGCTTAAAGGGGGTGTCACCTGGCCATTAGGTCATATCATAGATCCTGGTGACTTCAGTGAGCAGCTAAAATTACAAACCTTTCCTCAGCCTATTACATATGAAATGTGTATAACCAATATGAGTAGTTTATATTATTCAGAAGGGTGGAAAAACAAACCAACAAAAATACTTTTTATAAAACATCTACTGTGTGCAACTTACTGCCTGAGTGCTAACATCAGTTGTCCTATTTAAAATCACAAGAAACAAATATTGATACCAAATATTCAGTTGAGTTGGACTGAAGATTTCAGAGCTTTAGAACTCTTTTGGAGTGATGGAAATATCCTGTATCTTGATTGTAATGTTAGTTATAGGATTGTATGCATTTGTGAGAACTGACAAAATTTCATAGCTAAAGTGGGTGAGTTTTTCTGTATGTAAACTATACCTTGATTATACCTAGCCAATAAAAAATACCAAACAAAAAACCCAAAACACCTCAGTAAAGAATATGTACCTAATTTGAAGGCAGGCCTAACCATTATTCCATACTTGTTTTGTCTGCAATGTAGCAAACTTCAAACAAATGTCGATGCTCATGAATGCTTAATACGGAAGTACACTAGTACATTTCAGAAGCATTTGCAACCATGGGTTAAAGAAAACAAAAGCAAACAGCTGTTTTTTCCTGTCTCTGCCCTGCCACCTATGGTAAAGAGAGAATGGGCATGAACCTGAGGGGCAAGGGTGAAGATGGTGCACTCCTAACACTTCTTGCTGACTGACTTACCCAGAGGTATTCTGAGCCTTCCTTTATCCTGTGTGCTGGGTGGGCACAGACTACGTTCTGGGGACCCTGTGCCCTCTGGCTTTCAGCTGGATTTAGACAAAGCATGCGAGATTATGTCTCACCACTCTTCTCCCACGATTTCCGTGATCTGGTTGCATCCCTGGACCAAGAAACATGGCACTGTTTGGCAACTCTCTCTATCTCCTTTCCTTCTTCTCTCCCTCCCTCTGCTCCCCTTCTTTCCAGATTCCACTAAACTGAGGCTCATATCTCCAGGATCACATGTGTTAACCACCTCATTATAAATGGCATGAGGGTATGGCCCACACTAATGTATACTGTCAATATTTAACTTTTCTCAAATCACCCAAGACAATGTATTTTCCCTTTCTTCTGGAACCCTGACTGATAGACCCTGGCTGGTCCCTAACCATTCTCTTCATTGACTAAGGGTATGTTACTTGTAGGATCAGTTTTCAGTGGTACCAGATTTTAGTGGCAATAATACTGAAAATGGTTCTGGCCTGGAACCAAGTTCTATCTCCCTAGTAAACAGCCTTGTAGCCTGGAGAGAGACACGTAGCTCCTTTAATGTCAATTTCATGATTTTTAAATGGGTAGTAGTTACTTTCCTCATTGGATTATTTTGAGATGAAATGAAATACCATAAAAAGGGTTGAGCAAAATAATTCACAACAATCAGAGTATATCATTGTCATTTTTTTTAAATACAGAGATGTCCAGATCCATCTCTAGAGATTTTGCATTTGCCGAAGGGTTTGTATGTATACGTTTATGTGATCTGGGCAGGGGAGGAGGTACAGCATCTGTTCATCTAATTAACTTTATAGCTGAATGTGATCCAAGCTAGCTACATGCCCAGTATGAGCTCAGTATGACGTAGAGTATAAATCAATGTTTTTATCTTTTCTATCACTACTCTCCATTACTCTAACCATAAATTTCTAAAAAGGAATCTATAATTTCCATTCCCAATAGTGACTAAGGATTTGCACTGCAAATACCCTAGAAAACCAATTTACATTTAAGGATAAATGATTAATGAGAAATCATTTTATGTTAAAGGCATGGGGATAGAGCATTAGATGGAGATATCCAGGCAGAAAAAATAAGAATATTAGAGAGGAAGATAGCACAGAAAAAGGACACGGTTGACCCTTAAACAACACAGAGGTTTGGGGCAACCCCCCACACAGTTTGAAATACATGGACAAGTTTTGACTCCCCCAAAACTTAACTGCCAATAGCCTACTGTTGACCAGACTTACTGATAATATAAACAGTTGATTGACACATATTTTGTATGTTACATGTGCTATATGCTATGTCTTACAATATAAAGTAAGATAGAAGAAAGAAATATTATTAAGAAAAGCACAAGGAAAAGAAAATCCCTTTTCAATGTGTATTTATTGAAAACAACCCATGTATAAGTGGACCTGGGCAGTTTGAACCTGTCACGGGTCAACTGTACTAGGTAACGCAGAAGCAAATGCTTTGCTCTGTTCATATTCACTGGGAGGAAAAGTTAATGGCATTCACTAGGGAGAATGTAGAGTTATATAAAGTCCAGGCTTTAGCTAAATAAATTATATACAGTTATTATGTCTAATGACATCACAATTTATTCATGAAAATAAGCCTCTGTATCCAATACACACACAAATGCAGAAACTCCACAAGAAAATAAATAGAATGCAGCCTATGTGTGATGGATATCAATTGTTCCTTTAGTGTAAGACCAAGGAAGATCTCTCTGAGAGGACATTCATAGGTTCAGTCAAGAGAATTGTACAGAGCACCACGATGCGCCATGCTCTGTGCAAGGAGCTAGAAGAGGCACATAGCAGATGCTCTGGTGAAGCTTGTTGGCTATTTAGTGAAGTTTTATAACTTTGTTAATGCATGGGGCACATCTGAATATCTCCCACTGTACACTTTAAACTCTATGAACAAAAAGAAGATAGCACCTGAATTTACTATGATCTTAAGAGCTTCTTTTATTTTTCGAAAGAATTTAGAATAGGTACAGGTATCAACAAGAATTAACAAACACATGCTTTCCTTTTTCAGTCATGTTTCATAAGCTATCTGTAGGCAAGGTGGACCCCAGCCAGGAGACTAACTCGGTTCAGATGTTTATATATGACAAAGGGGAGACTGTTTGTCTTTATCTTGTCCACACTTTCAATGTATAGAATACTGTGACAGTTTTCCATATGAATTCTTAGGTATAACAAAAAATCTCATTTTGTGTTAAAAATTTTAATAATATATAACATATTACATATTATTATTGCTATTTGATTAAGAATGTTTTGAATCATTACTTAAAACTTAGTGGATTCAAATTGGGACTAAGGTACAATAACAAAATGATTTATGTGTTTTTATGACATGAAATTTGAGAAAAATGAACTGAAAGAGAATAATGATTACTCAGGTTGCTTGGTTTTCTTGTAGATACCTGTTGATTATAAGTTTCCAAGGATAACTGAAAGCTTTAATTTTTTATCATCACATTCAATGTTCCAAAGCCATTTGAAATTCTCAAACACAATGTGAATAATTATATAAATAACACTAAATCTTGCACATGTGGGAACAGCCTGATTTCAAGAAAATTATCTGTCTCTTCAACTAGTAAGAGAATCAATTATATACCTAAATGATCTTCTTAAAAACAATTCAACCTCTGAGTTAGAGCACCAATCAGACTTACTATTTAAAATATGTGATATGGTAGACTTAGCTGGGCTTTCTTCCATCACATAAAGAAAATCATCACTAAATATTAAAGTAAGCAACAAGTAAATAAACAAATATCATGCCCATTTGAAATTTAAGTTTTAAAAGAAGTTAATTATTTATAGGTGTTCAATTCATATGTACATCCAGAAACTTTCAAAAAAGCATTTGGACAATTAAGCTTTTCATTTTTCAGTTGG